GAGAGTGCTCGATTTTTTTTGGACCTCACCGACTCCGCACGATTTTTTTTATCGAATCTTGCCGCGTGCACGATATTTTTTTAAATTTTTACTATAGCGTTAATACAATAATAACCACGTATGGTTATATTCCGGCTGAAGAATGTATTTGAATATACAGCATATAACCACAAAATAGGAAAGTATAGCAGAAGTGTAACCCACGGAAATTTTAACTCGCTCACGCCATCCTGGCTAGTACAGCCGGAAGTTTTTATCATGTCTTGATAGGTACAAAGTGCCGGTTGTACTAGCCAGGATGGCGTGGTTGATGACGAATCGCTTGTAAAAACGCGGACAAATACTTGCTTGAGTGGGACTTGTGGTATACCTTCCTATTCTATGATATAACTATCACAGCCCATTTTATACTTGGCCCATTTTATACGGGGCTATGGTCTACGAAATGTAGGATCAAGTGTATTAAAGTGTGTAACCCATTTTGCATTGGCGTAATGGCATCTATATACAAATTCTCACGGTTCCCAATCGTATCAGTGTTCCCAATACGTATTATAAACTGCGATTTTTATTCAGAATCAGAGAGCGATATTAATGAGCCGGGTGGGAAAGGGTATTTTTGTGACCCGTGAATGCAGTGGCGTAGCCAAACTATAATTTTTGGGAGGGCATATATCGAACGGCGAAGGCGTAAGCCTTTTTAGGGGGGTCCGGGGGCATTCTCCCCCGGGAAAATTTTGAAATCTGGAGTCCCTCAATGGCGATTTCCCGTGTTTCTGGGGAGAGATTTTGCATAATTCTGAAGATTATTTACTGCAGGAAAGACCTGATTTTTAATGATTTCTCAATAATGTGGATCCTTAATTTGACTCAACGAAGCTTACTTGGTCACGTGTGAATAGTTAAATCGAAGTTTAAAAACGCATTTTAACCAATAACCACCATAGGCATTATTTTCTGTAGTTAGATTTAGGAAAGATTAGAACTTTTATAGACAATTTGGTGAACAGATGAGATTGGTAGTCACATGGGTAGTCATCGTCCCCCCCCCCCTAATTTCTACCCGGATTTCATCTTTTTACAAGGGCAGTCCATCAGCCTATTTGGGGGGGGGGGCTGAGCCCCCCCCCCTTGTCTACGCCACTGCGTGAATGGTCAATATTTGATCGTCTGAAATGCTTGATTTTACTGTCATGATCTGTGATTTGTTCTACAGCCGTGAGGCGTGATTGTCGATCAAAAAATGCTCCATGAAATGGGAATTAAGGATGTCTGTTTCGTGAACTGTGATTTTGATTTGTTCATTCCGATCTATTTTATAATAGTGATAATGGACATAATACGCGATAATAATTTATATGATCGATCTCACTCGATTGTACAAGAGTAGAAACTTCAGAGGCCTTTCGGAGATCGTCGGACGTACTCATCACTCAGTAGTTTTTAACTGCCAGGCAGAGAAGAGAACTTAAAGCGTAGTACTGTACCATGCATTAAACATAATCTTAAAGCTATTATTATTATTTTATTTTTATTAGAGTCTCGTTATCCGTGAAATGTGAAATTGCTTTTTTATGGCACGTGAATTGTGAAACGGTATTTTTTTGTTGTGAAACGTGAATCATACCCCCCCCTTTCCCACCCTCATTAATCGATGTCGAATTTACAGAAGTGTGGGACTTTCAGTGTTAAGATTGGGGTTTTTAGGGATACCATTAAGGTAATTTGTGGATAATTGAATTATTGAAGTCAAAGTTGTCAGAACTGGTTTGTATCTGTTTGTATTTTGCATGTATACCAAGGCAGAACGGAAACACTCAACAGAAAAAACTAAGGGAAACTGAATTTTTCTTTCAATATAGACTATTGCTGATTTAGATTTTTTTTGTGCTCGATATTTTTTTTTGCTGGTGTTAGTGATGTAAAGTATTGTATCATTTGCGACAGCTGACCTTTGAACTGCTGATAAATAAAAGCTTCTTATAGTGCGCTGTCTTGCGATTATTCAGTATTAATTGTTGACTGTTTCTTATTTTCAATGAAAAATTGCTTGTGAATTACAAATTAATAGCACATATAGTTCACTCGGTCTTTTCCACCATGGCGTACTTCCCTTCAAGCATTAACTATGCTTCAGGATATCGGCTTGAATGCGCAATGAATGTTGTTATTGGAAATATAATATCCCTTACAATAAGCGACAGACTGTTTCATTATGGCGCGTAAAATTCATCACGCGAAAAACGCGTTCGACTTGCAGCAGGGTAATTTGACGAAATTTTGCTATTTTTGTTAGCGAAAAACATTAATAAGGGAACAAAGTTTCCTGCGTTAATTTGGAAACCGTACATTTATTTGTAGATAACATTTAATGACGCGATTAACATTCGTTTGATGCCGATCATCGTAATATAGCCGCATAAAATAATGAAACGAAGCCTAAATGTAAACTTTCCGAATTTATTCAATAAACAGTGATATTATGTGTGAATGATTATCGCAATTCTGCGTCCTCTCAGTCAGGAAATATACTGCTGCAGAGCCTCTGAATAAAAAGTATCATTTTTTGTGTTGTTTTTCGAAATATACATCACGTGATCGTTGCCATGACAACGAAAAGTAGGTCAACTTTTAGAATCTCCTTTGATAAATCATATAAAACTTGAATGGTAATAATCAAGGCCATACTTATATTTTTATGATTTTTTGTTTATTTTCACTAAATACACAAACTGAGACCCAGGCATTAATGTACCTGAGTATATAAAAAATGCTGCAGATAATTTTTTAAAATTACACATTTTAGACCACCCCCCTCCCCCCTTTTATCTGCGGTCTTGGGCAAATTGAAACCTCCCCCTCTCAGACATTCCAATTACTGGAGGTAAAATTTAGGGAGACTGGCACCATGACCAGAATGCTTTGCCTGAATTTTAGCAACAGGTTGTCCAAGCTGCAATAGCTTCTCGTAATTGTATTCAGCAACAGTTTTCTTGCCGAAGTACAATCAGATGTCATCAGTGAATTGATCCATTGGTACACTTGATGTTGAATGCTCCAACAATAGTTTCCAGTCCTCCTCTGTCAATTTTCCATTTCGCATTCTCATCAGCAAAGCTCTAAAAGCAACTGCCTCGGGGTCCTCACCAGCCTGACACACAACTTGATCTAAAATAATCACATGTCCATGGTCACTTACTACTGTTCCATTACCTGAAACATACATTGGCTTATCACCAACAGGTGGTAATTGACCAAAATCACCCATTAGAATTACTGACATACCACCAAAAGGGATATCTTCCTTTCCAGTACCAGCACGTAATCTATTGTCAAGCCATGATAGCATTTTATGTCCAATCATTGACATTTCATCAATAATCAGAAATCTTTTACCTTCTAGCTTCAGCTGTAACCGCTGTAGTGAGTCACCCTGCAAATCCCTATATTCACGGATAGGAAGTTGAGCAGCAGAATTTAATGTTTGACCGTTAATACTAAAGGCTGCAATCCCAGTAGTTGCTGTAACAACACACTGGGCGGCTAATACTTGTTTCGTTGCACTTATTAAGTATGTCTTACCTGTGCCAGCTGTTCCACACACAATCATATAAACAGGCTCGGCATTATCACCATACTGAGATGTGATGATGTTGTAAGCAAGGCGTCGTTTTTCATTCAGGGTCCCCGGATCAATTACACATTGTTGATCATCTTCTCGAAAATGCTGACCATGTTCTTCAGCCTCCTTTCTTTGACTATAGATCCATCTTGGAGATTCCCTTAACAAATCTTTAAGCACAGCTCTTACCGTTTCAAACCAGCCCACTGCTTCATTGTCTGACATCCGATTACATGCTTCACCATAATCTTGGTTAATTCTGCATAAGGTCAATTTAACATGAGACATTGAAAATGGCAAAATTGCAAAATGCAACATCATGTGGTGCTAACCACATGTTTCCATAGTTAACACATTGGATTATCATAAATCAAAACGATTTTTGAATTTTGGCCCATGCCCACTCTGCGGCAAACCGTTGAATCTGCACTTGTTTGTTGCTATTGTTCTGTGGATAAAGTGTGTTTATTTAAAATAATTATAACTCAGTCACTTTAACTTTGAAATAAGTTATATTTCTTAACAAACACAGTCTAAGGTTCACATATCATGATGACAATGTTAGATCAGACAATATCCAGTGTTGCTGTGATTTATGGTGCATCGAAGTTTGGGTAAGAGAAATGTAATGTCCGCAACAAAAAAACAATTCAATTTATTTTTCAGCCAAACGTCTAGCTCTTTTGACATTATATTTGTGCTGCTTTTTTAAAATGGTATTAACATTATTTTAGACTGGAAAAAGACAATAAAAAGTATTAACATGTCTTGAATAATGTGTTGCGGACATTACGTTGCAGACATTACATTTTTGAAATTGGAGAATTAGATGCTTATATAATTGTCTTGCTTGAATTCTATAGTTATTTTAAGCTTGATGATTTTAAAAATAGAACATTAAAAGGACTATGGGACCCTTACTTTTAACTATAATCACTCCGTGCTGTATACACAATCACAGTGACACAATTCATCATGGAAAGTTTCCAAGTTACATATAATGCCACTACCGTATACTGCCATTGTACCATCAGTTTTGTAAGGCATATGTTGTTAAGAGCAAAATCATGCTTTAATTCATGTTTGTTTTGATCATCTTCCACTAAACCCAGGGGTGTTAATTATCCCCACTAAATGTAGTAAATGCAAAACTGTCAAACTCAGGCATGTTAATGCCTGGGTCTGCCCACGCTTGGATAATATCTTGCGCGTGTGTTGCACGCGCGGTCTGTCAGTAATGCGTCTGTTATAATATGTGCCCCTTGTGTGAGTATTTTAGTGAATTTGGGCGTTTGCTTCAAATCAAAATATAGTATATATGAGCGACAGGATTATTTTGGAATATACAATGCAAAGAAGTCCGTATACTATTCAGTTTTTATGTAATAATTGGCTATTTGTATAGCAATAAGTATTGTATCATTTGCGACAGCTGACCTTTGAACTGCTGATAAATAAAAGCTTCTTATAGTGCGCTATCTTGCGATTATTCAGTATTAATTGTTGATTGTTTCTTATTTTCAATGAAAAATTGCTTGTGAATTATAAATTAATTATAGCACGGACAGTTTAGTCGGTCTTTTCCACCATGGCATGCATTAACTATGCTTCAAGATATCGGCTTGAATGCGCAATGAATGTTGTTATTGGAAATATAATATCCCTTACAATAAGCGGCAGACTGTTTCATTATGGCGCGTGAAATATCACGCGAAAAATGCGTTCGACTTGCAGCAGGGTAATTTGACGAAATTTTGCTATTTTTGTTAGCTAAAAACATTAACAAGGGAACAAAGTTTCCTGCGTTAATTTGGAAACCGTACATTTATTTGTAGATAACATTTAATGA